CTTTCTTTCTTGCTTTTTTGCAACACCTCCAATTTGTTATAATCTTCTGCAATGTATATAAACTGAGTTAGCATGCTGTTTATTCATCTCATCCAGATCATTAATATGGATGTTAAATAAAACCAGATCCAATCCAGATCCCCCTGGTGTCCCACTGGATACTTCCTGGTGAACTCTGCGCCTGGCTGCTTATCATTCATTACTCTTTGTTTATGCACCTCAGCCTGTTTTCAATCTATATGACAGTACTTGCCTTTCAGCCAATTTGCATTAATTTTTATAGAGGACCATTTGTCCCAGAAGCTCCATTCAGTTTTCCCTTTGTTGTATCTGCTAAGTTCTAGTTACCTATCTGTTCCGTTAATTCAGTGGATCTGAACAGCAGGCCTGATGTCAACTTGGGTTACTTTGGGCAGCTGTTGGGGCCCAAGCTGATGCCTGCCCTGGGCCCACATGCCGTGAAGTTTGGAGCCACCATTTTGATTTCTCACAGTGACCCCAAAGTGGCACTATATCGTGGGAATTGTTGGAAATTAAAATAGTAGCTATGAGTGGCTTGTTCTGGCTCCTGTCCAAAACATGCAGATAAAGGATCTTACTTATGAGAAAGAAAGAAATCTTTATTCAGGCAAGTAACGGCACAGACTCGGCAGCAGACACAGTGCTCAAAAGTCACCGTTCAGGAGGTCAGGAGCAGGGCAAGAAGGTCTGAACTAGATGGAAGTCAACAAGTTTTCCTGCCCCTCCCACCAAGCTTTTAATATGAGGAGTGGCATGAAACACTCTCTCCTCACATTGTCTTGGCGAATTAGAGGTGTATTTGGACTGACTCACTACAAAGTTTGCAAGCAGTAGTTGTCTAATTTTCTTTGGATTCAAAGGCACTGTTGCATTGTTCTTGTTTTAAACAAGTCACTTGTGCATTTAGTGCTCTGTGGTTATTTACCCTATCATTCTGTATAATTACAGTTCTAAATTTTATTCTAGCTAAGGTAGGAACCATACAGGCAAAGGTTAGTCATGCTCAGCACAGAGATTCTCACAGTAGCTTACAATAAGGACTCAACTTCTAAGCCAAAAATGTGTGGGAATCTCTGGTTAGTGTGCCATATTCTTTTCTGTATTTTTTTTTAAAAAGTGTATCAGTTTCAAGGTGTAAGATTCTTTTGATGCTCCAATGCCCTTGCTTCATGAGAGCTGCCTGACCATGTTTGCAGAGTTGAAACCTCAGAGGTGGGACACAGATTAGTGGCTTGTGTAATTTCCCCAATGTGTATCTAGGCTGGCACAGATTTTCATGGACTTCAAGACAATTATTCACCAGGATATATCATAGCCATATGCCAGGAAGCACTTGCTATGTCTGAAATTTTGCTGGTTTGGAAAAGTGTGTTTTCGGTTATTACGGTGGACATTTGGGGTATAAGAAGACATTTGCATGCTCCGATCATGTTGTTTGGAGAGTTTTGTTTCCTACCTTCCTGTGCTCTTCTGTGGGTGTCAGATAGTTTTATGTATGCCAGTCTGTTTTGGGAGATTCAGAACTTTCTGAGTGATCTACTGGGTGGTATTCAACGAGGTGTTACTCAGAGTAGACACACTGAAAATATTGGACCTAACTCTGTCATGTTCATTCATTTCAATGGATCTATGCTGAGTAAAACTTAGCTGACTATCACTCAAACTTAGTTGTTCTCTTGATGATCTCATTGAATGACAAAAAGAGGATCTTGCCTGGAGTCTACCACTTCCTCCATCCTTGACATACTCCAAACTAAGCAGCAGAGATTAGGACCCAGAAATAAGCAAGACAGGGGAAGGACTGGGAAAAGGTAAAAAGGTATAAAGGGGATGCCACTTTCCAGTGGCCTTTCAGATGTTGTAACTCCCATCAGCGCCAGCCAGCCATCTAGCCAGGAGTGACCATTGTCAGCAATAGTTAGAGGGATGCAGGTTCCTCATCTCTGTTCTATGGAAAAGCTGGTGAGTCTTATACAAGCTTTTAGATCAGTGGTTCTCAAAGGGTGTGGCGGACGACACTGGTGCGGCAGGAGAGGGTGGCAAGTGTGACAGGAAGAATCACAGACAATCAAAGAAACATTTCAGCATAGCATAGCATAGCATAGCATAGCATATTTTTTAATTATTTGTAGAATATGGATAGATAGCTTTTCAAAATGAGAGCAAGAGCAGCAAATGATACTGAGAACAATCCTAGTTGTGATCCAGAATTGTCGTTCGAACAGAGTGCTGGAGAAGCCTCATTTAATTCGGCACCAGTAGCAGGCCCAAGCAAACCTCCAAAAATGAAAGTTTGTCAACAATATGTGGACAGCCATCTGAGTCTTGGTTTCACACAGACTGAAAATGACAACGTTCCTCAGTCTATGTGCTTAATCTGTGGTGAGAAGCATTCCAATATGGCACCAAACAAGAGGAAAATACATCTGTTGTCAGAACATGGAAATCTGGCAAACAAGAATGTTCAATATTTTGAAAGGCTTTTGGAACAGCAGAAATGCCAACAATAACATTTCAAAAAATGAGGAAAAGTCTTGGATAAGAGGCAAATTATCTCTTACCAAATGGGTGAAGTGATTGCTCAACAGAAGAAAATCACATATGATAGCTGAAAAATTGATTAAGCCTGCCTGTGGCTTGATTGTGAAAAAATTGTTTGGCATTGATGCTGAGTGACACGTTATGGAAATTCCTTTGTCTGATGATACAACTCACAGAAGAATAGTTTTGTCAGCTAATATTGGGAAGCTTGTTTCCGAAAGTATGAAGAATTCTAAATTTGCCATTCAAGTTGATGAATCTACCAACATTAGTGGAAAAGCACAGTTGCTTGCCCAAATCAGATTCATTCACAGTGACAAAATTATTACACAGTTCTACTTTTCAATGAACTAATTAAGCATACCAGAGGACAAGATCTTTTCCAAACCATATCTGAGTATTTGGGAAAATGTGAGATTTCATGGGATTCTTGTATTGGAATCTTTACAGACAGAGCGCCATGTATGACAGGGAATGTGTGATGCTTGGTGGTACTCATCAAACAGAAAAATCCAGATGTTATCTCAACTCACTGCTTTTTACACAGAGAGGCCTTAATCACCAAGAGCATGGGTAGGCAAACTAAGGCCCGGGGGCCGGATCTGACCCAGTCACCTTCTAAATCCGGCCCACGGACAGTCCTGGAATCAGCATGTTTTTACATGAGTAGAATGTGCCCTTTTATTTAAAGTGCATCTCTGGGTTATTTGTGGGGCCTGCCTGGTGTTTTTACATGAGTAGAATGTGTGCTTTTATTTAAAATGCATCTCTGGGTTATTTGTGGGGCATAGGAATTCATTCATTTTCCCCCCTTTAAAATCTAGTCCGGTCCTCCTCCCACAGTGGCCTGCTGAAAAAGTTTGCTGACTCCTGACCAAGAGCCTTGTAGCTCAGACTGTGGCCATTGTGAATTTCATCAAAGCAAAAGCACTAGAAGACACTGCTATTTGCTCAGCTCTGCAAAGACATGGAATCAAAACATCAATACCTAATCCGGCACTTGGAGATTCATTGGCTGTCCCATGGGGGGGGGGAAATAATATGGTGCTGGAACTGAAGAATGAATCAAGGGAACCCATTTTACAATCAACTGGATGACAGTGACTGGTGTGCAAAGTTGGCATATTTGGCCAATATTCAACCCAGTTGAACGAGCTGAAGTCCTGTATGCAAGGCCCCGATGACAATATCCTCACAACTACACACAAATTAATTGCATTTTTTAAAAGGCTTCAGTGCTGGCGCAGAAGAGCGATGCAACATAACCTCAAAATGTTCCCACTGGTATATAGTTTTAAGATGAGCAATGAATTCTATGGCCTCATTCAGGAACATCTAGCGACGCTGGTAGAAAATATTGATAAGTACTTCCCATCAATGTGTAGAGAAAATTTCGAGCTCGCTTGAGGTACATATGTAAAAGGCTTGTTTATAATTATATTTTGGGAATGATTCATGTTCTTATGCAGCTGCATTGTTTTACACTTTCTGGGTGTCTCATGATCATATTACAAAGTAGTTTTGTTCTGTGTTATAAATCAAGCCCTGCTGGGTGTTGCTTCTTTTTGTTTTCCAGTGTATTTCTTATTGATACAAAATTTGGTTTGGTGTGAGCAAATTTTTATTCTGAAAGTGTGGCCCAGAGAAAAAAAGTTTGAGAACCACCACTTTAGACTCCTTCTCTATCTCTATCTATCGCTATCTCTATCTCTATCTCTATCATCTCTATCTATGTTTTTAACATAACATTTTCAACAATTATTAAACATACTTTTATATCTTATACACTTTTTTTTACTTCCATTAATCACATCTGAAAATTTTCCAATCTGATCACTTAATTTACATTTCTTACTTTCACTATTACATTTAAATATTATAATTAATGTCTCTCTTCTTTCTCTTCTTTGCAATATTTCATATATTTCTCCTTACGAAACTTCTTTTAGTCCTACTAGCGTAACTTGATTACAGTTGCTCTTCAAATAGTTCATATATTTCTTCCAGTCTTCTGTAAATCTCTGGTCCCGCAGGTTTTGAATCCTCACCGCTTTAGACTTTCAAGATGCAATGTGGCCACAGCCAAGCACTCTCTTCAATTGGCAGGCCTAAGGACTGTTCCCTTGAGACTTGAGGCTCTGTGTCTGTTTCCTTCAGGCCATATTTCTGTGGCTTGGTCATTTGAAGGGTGAGCATTATTACCAACAAAAAGTGCAGATTCTGGGTCAGGGCTTGCAGTTTCTACACGTCAATCAACATGCAGCGAATGTGTTCTGTGTCAGCTGCTCTGGCTTCCAACAGGGGTTGATTTGACCCGCAGCTGTCTCCAGGACAAGGTGAGGTATGGTGACTCTCACGGGAACAGCTCTTGGCCTGGCGCGCATAGCTAAATTCCAGCAGAGCATATTACGTTCTATCCCATTGTGACAGTAAACGTAGCTAGTAACAGGTTTGGCTGTGCCAGATTTTAACTTGGAAAGCTGCACTAAAGCAAAGGGAAGAGAAAAGGTTGGGGCTCCCATTCCGTTCTCCTTCTGTACTTGACTGTGTTTATGTTACATTGTTATTCCAGGAGTTCAGCCGTATCTCTGTTGGGAATAGTTTTGGCGTATCAGGTTTAATAGCGTTTCTTCTGTGGCCATGTGGAGGAAGACAAACAAGAATATAACTAGCTGACAGATCCCCTTTCAAGCTGCTGCTTGACTTGTAAGAATGTTAATTGTGGAATGTTAAACCTTCAAGTAAGCGAGCCTTTGCTGCACAACGGTGCAGTCAGGGATGAGACGGCAACAGGACCCCTGCATAGCTTTCCTTGCCTTTCATCGTGCCAGTTTGGTGCACACTTTGGTGCATTGCTTTTGTGTGTTGTTCTGTCTCACATTGGGCACATGTGAAAATAAGGGTATTTTCTCTCTACTGTATTAACAGCCACAGTAGCACAAACACACCTTGGTATGGGATGCACTCAGGAGGGAGCTAGAAGATATGGTGGGCACAGGGTTGCCACAAAAAGTGGTGGGCAGAGCTGTTGGTTTCAATTTCTCCCAGCTTCTCATTTTCCCACTCTTCATTTCTCCATATTTCCACACCACTTTGCATTTTTAAAAAGTCTTCATGACAATTCATCAGCATATTAGTATGAATTTCTCTGAATACATACATTTGTATGCAATTTTGCATAATACACACAATTTTGCAAAATATATTTACACCCCCCCAATACATTTGTGTGCTATTTCAACCAATATATACACATTTTTAGGCACACTTAACCCCAGTATATGCAATTTTGTACACATTGTTTGGCTGGAGAACTGCATCACAAAATTTGGACAAGTGTGAGTTTCGAACACTGCTGTGTTTTGGTTCTCGTATTGCTTCGGAAAGTGCAAATTTGATTGATTTGGTTTTATAATAATAATAATAATAATAATAATAATAGATATAAATCCCCCCCTCTCTTAACTATAATACAAGGTCACACTTATTTCTGCCTAGTCCTTAGTTTGGGGCTTTGGCAACACACTTGCTGTCATCTAGTCCAGCAGCCTGTGTCCAGTCAAAACCTTCTGAGAAGCTTAGTAGAAAGGCAACTTGTCTCCAGCACCTGAAGTTCACAGGCACCCTGCCCTCAGAAGATGAATGCTATATTTATTATTGGAGTCTGTAAGAGGGGCTTGCATGAGTAGTGAGTTTCAGCAGATGGGAGCTGTGGGAAAAATGTGGTAGGAGTGGTTTAACTGCCTTTTGAAGGCAGTACTCACCGCAGCCTAAAGAAGGGGTAGCCCTCCAGTTGTTGGACTACAGCTCCCAATACCCTAGTCAGCACTGCCAAGGATGATGGGAGTTGTAGTCCAACAACACCTGGAGGGCAACACAATGGCTACCACTAGCCTAAAGCTATCTACTGTGCATGATTTGCTCCTTAGTGGCGCTGGATTTAGTTGTGGCTGAGCAGAGTTGAGAGTTTCCTGTTACTGTTTCATTCTTGTTGGAGAGGTGCAATAAAGTTCTTGTCCTACAAGCCTTGCTTGACACCCATGGACGCATGAAGCCTCCTAGAAGGTGATACCATTTACACAGTATGGTGTCAGGTTCTGTGGAGCTGGATCCTCATTCCTTCCCTGAAAGTTGAGGGCAGGAGGAACTGTAGATGCTCTGTTGTTGTTACAGATAATGGATTCCCACTGGTCCCTTGAGCTCTGTTGCTGCCATTCTCATGTATGAGAGACTACATTTACTGACGCCAGCCCTGCTCAGCCTGGGCAAACAATCAGGGAACTGTAACCAGATCACTGACAGACCCATTCCCTGCCTTTCAAAGTGGGAAGTCAGCTGCGGCAGAGAAACCATCCTCTTACGCGGATAAATAAGAGTATGCTCTCCGACCGAATTTATGAAGAGTCCAAGGGTCAGCTCACAGAGGATCGGATTGTTGACGTTTTCATCTTTTATAATGTAAAATTACCCAACTGTTAAAAGCTGTTTGAACAAGCCTGACCTGCAAATGCTATTAAAAGACTTGTGCTCAGGCCAGTCTCGGTGACTTTATCCTCTCAGGGACTGTGAGCACAGGCCGCTGCCTTTAAAAGAGGCCTGTTGTGTTGCTCCCAGAAACCTCTGGTTGTGTTGTAACCACAGCTGCAGTAATGACAGCTGAGCTGGAGAGCTCTGCTCTTTCTCTTCCCCATTCTAAAGGGAGGCTTTAGAATAACTTTGCACCTGTACAATGCCCGGCACTAGCAGGCCTTTGCTCTGGGGAAGCCGTGTGGAATTTTCGATACCTTTTTGCAGCAACGCGGAGTCACCATAAACACAAACAAAGGAGGCCCCCTATTGAAAGGGAGGTGGGTCGGAGGGGGGCGGGTAGCCTCTGTAGGCTTCTCGTGCAGTTTGGCAGCCTTTCCAAGGGTTAAGGATGTAGCAAATGCCAAATGATAAGCATTACGCTCCAGAGACGAGGGAGAAATCTGTGTGAGTAATTGTTTTAAGCTAACTATTCCCTGCAGGTTGATGGATGCTTTCATGCCTTAAGGGTTAAGGGCTGTTTAGTTAAAGAGGTTATGAAAACAAATCACCTCTTTGGTAAGGAATGCCAAACTGCCTGTTCAGTTTGAACCAATTTCCATAGGTTGAGTTCCCTCGTTTGTTTGCAGATTGAATTTTTGTTTGGAGGGAGGTAATGGCTTCTCCCTGGTTTGAGCAGCGTATTAGGAATAATTTCACAAAGGTTATGCAGAGGTGAGGGTGACATGGCCTCCTGGTTTAATAGACTCTCACTTGCTTTTCAAAACAAGGAATCCTGAGTTTAGGAAGGAGCTCGGTCAAGTGACAGACAGCAACACATCTTCATTCATCAGAAAGCCCCAGTAGCAGCAACATAAAGTGCAATACACTGGGTCACACCTGAACCAACCCTGGCATGCTACCATGTATACAAATGGGTGTTGTTGTTGTTTGGACTTTAGGACAAGTCTGCCTTGGTTATTCTATGAATGCAGATTATTACTATTATTATTATTTAAATTCGTTAGTCATTTTACGTTGCCCAAGGCAATCCAATGTAACCTATAACCAAACCTGATCTCCAGAGTCCTTATATTATTCTGCCCTCATTGGTTTCAGCATTTATCCATGGGTCAGTTGAAGCTATGCATTCTGCACAATCATCTTCCTGTTGCCATCTCAGGGGAGTTCCTGAGTGATGAAGTACAAAACCAGTTTATATCCATTCAGTTACATGCTATACTGTTATATCAGGAATATAGGTTTCGTGCCTTGCAGTAATTGGAGGAGGTTCAGGTCCATGAGCTGTAGATCACCAGCAGCAGTGGGTTTAATCCATGGCCCATTAACCTAAGACACAAGACGTTGCCTCATAGTGAGTCAGGCCATTTGTCTATCTGCTTCAGTATTGTCTAAATGGCAGCAGCTCTCCAATGTTCCCAACAGGGTTCTCTCCTAGCCCTACCTGGTGATGCTGGGGAATGAACCTGGGACCTTTTGCATGCAAAACAGATCCAGTGAGCTACAGCCCTTGGTGTGACTGAGTGTAAAGCAGGTCACTGGATCTTAATTTAACAGGAAAGACAAGAGCTGGGAAAAAAATCCCCAGATAATAAATTACTACTACTACTACTACTGTTTCAACAACATTTCCCCTAAGTGATCAAACCATTTCAGAGTCAGTATTTTGGGAATGTTTACTACAACCCTGCAAAGATGGTCAGCACTCTTATATTACACACTGAGGATAAAATTATAGGGATTTGCACGCAATGAATTCATGAATGTGCCGAGAGATGTCTGGCTCATAGCTGACTCTCTGAACCACACTGCAGCCCTGCTTCATTTTTTGGTGCTAACTGAGCTAGAAAGAGAGAAGAGTTTTCTGGCACCTTAAAAATTAACAGATTTGTGGTCACATAAGCTTTGGTGGATTAGAGTCCACTTTATCCAACACGTAAGATGACGTGAACTCAAGACCATAAAAGCTTAAGTTAAAATTAATCTGTTAGCCTTTAAGTGTCAAAATATTCTATATTGTTGTGACAAACTAACAGGGCTGTTACACCTCTGGAAGACGAGCACAGGGGCTCTATAATCCTTTTGCATTCCTGAAGACAAAACTGCCTTGTTGCTTCTGCCCATGAACAGCTGCATCTCCCATTGCATGTATTTAGAAAATGTTTTATTCATGGCTATTAAAGTATTTATACTGTTACCTTTCCAGAAAAACCAGGACTCTTCCAAAATAAGCATAACAATTAGGCCTCTTGCCTTGAGGTGTTTAGTTGTGGAACTGATGTCATTAATTAAAAAATAGGAGGACATATTCATTAAGTTTCCAGATAGAAACAACTCCACCATAAAAAATTCATGTGGCCTTCTGACTATTAACTTATATAATTAATGCTACATACTTCTTATGCACCATTAAATGGTGTAGCAATATCTGAAATCTTGGGTAATTGATACAAAGCTACCCCCCCTGTGTCCATGAGCATTTACTTGCAGAACATATTGTAAATTCCATTCCTCAAAGACTTGAGAGAATAAATAGAGCTAGAGACCCCATTAGCCAAAGCTCAAATGGCGGTGAGTCAATCCACATAGCGGTTTTGGAGGCGATGCTGATACTGAGGCAAAGTCTGCATGACTTGCCCATTTTTACACATGCCAAGACCATGGCTCCCCATATCCTGAAAAGCTTTGTGGATTGCACCAAAATATGATGAGATATAATACTGACCTTGGTTAGAGCATCTGCTTTTGCTTCACCTGGCTTAGTGGACCCCATGTTGACCCTGGCATGAAGGTTAGTGGTGGTTTGGAAACAGGTGGGTTCCATCATGATAAGAGTTTGCTTTCCCCCAACTTAGACTGAACATTAATGGTGTTCAGGCTTTGTTGGCAGTGGGTTTGCCAGCAATGTCATGAGTTCTTGCTACTGCAGCCGCCCCAGTTTCTTCCTTCCAAACTTAAACTGGTTGTGTTTGTGGCAATGGAAAGGTCCTCCCTGGACCTTGGATGCTGAAACAACATCCCAAGCATCAGGGGTCCTGGGATTTGTAGTTCCTCTGGACGCCTAAGTTCTAAGTATGGCTATATGCTCCAGTCACTCCTTGCATCTGGGTCATAGACTAATGGTAAAGGTAAAGGGACCCCTGACCGTTAGGTCCAGTCACAGACGACTCTGGGGTTGCGGCGCTCATCTCGCTTTAATGGCCAAGGGAGCCGGTGTACAGCTTCTAAGCCACTTCTGGCGAATCAGACCAGCACACGGAAACGCCGTTTATCTTTCCGCCGGAGCGGTACCTATTTATCTACTTGCACCTTGACGTGCTTTTGAACTGCTAGGTTGGCAGGTTGCAGGGATTCGAACCGCCAACCTTCTGATCGGCAAGCCCTAGGCTCAGTGGTTTAACCCACAGCGCCACCCACGTCCCTAGACTAATGGTAGGGTGTCTACAATCCATACAAGGCCTCAAGCACCCTGGAGACCTATATTTCCCCAGATCCCTGGTGTCTATGATGCTACTGTTTCAGTGTTTGAGATAAAAGGAAAGAAGGAATGCCCCATAGAAGAGCCTCCTGTGGTGTCTCATCATTGCTGTTGCTGCGATCACCAGCGTTGCTAGATCTCTAGGTCTGACCTGCAGTCTCCACGTTTGCCTCTAGGCAGGGGTGTCAAATTGAATAAAATATTGGGGGTGGGGAGGGAGATAAGCCCTGCCCCACATAATAGATCACATGCTGCACACACCACTTGAATGGCAATGCTGGGCCCCTCAAATATTTTATTGGGGAGAGGGGAAGCGACCTTGGCCCCTAGCAGCAGATCCTCCAAGTATCCCTATTTTCCAGGGACATCCCTGATTTAGAGAAACCATCCCGATTTCTGATTTGATCCCGGAATGTCCGACTTTTCTTTGGATGTCCCTATTTTCACTGGAGAAATATTGATGGGTGTGGTAGGATTTTCCTATTTTCATTGGGGAAATACTGGATGGTATGGAGTTATCTGACCCTCAAGCTGTCTGAAGGCATTCCAGTATAGGGAAGTTTTTAAAATGTTTAATGTTTCATTATGTTTTTATATATGTTGGAAGCTGCCCAGAGTGGCTGGGGCAACCCAGTAAGACGTGTGGAGTATAAATAGTAAAATTATCATTATGGAATGGGACGTCCCGATTTTCATTGAAGAAATGTTGGAGGGTGTGCTCTAGCTGGTAGGTGAAGTTCTTGAATCTCCAGGAGGGCAAAAACACCATTTAAAATGGGTTTTTATTATTATGAAGAATACTGCGCTGTGTGTGCAGCTTGCAAGCTTGCTGGGAGCCAACTGCAAATTATTGCAAAGACTCTCAGGAGAGGGAGGGTCTGTCCTCCTCCCCTCTCCCAATTAACACCAGTCTCTGCAAATTATTGCATAGATTCTCCAGAAGGTTTCTCCTTCTCCCATCCCTCCACATCTCCAGGGCTAAGTGGTGGGAGTCAGTGCAGAAGAAGAAAAAGAACTGGGCTGGGCTCAAAAGGAGGAGGAGGAGGAGGAGGAGGAGCCAGGGATGATGGGATTTGTAGTTCAGCTACAACTAGAAGGCCCAAAGCTCCCCAAACCTGACTTATATAGCTTTGTGATTCTATGTGTGTATCTTTATCATACATGGAAATAGAGAAATATTTCCAGTTCCATTATAGTTTCTATTATTTCTGTTAAAAGCTTTCACCATAGATATGTTCCAAGATGGTAATAGTATAACCCTTTCATCAGCTAAGACTGGCATAATCTGGCAAGTACCTTGTCTAGACTGACTGACTGATTGATTGATTGATTGATTATTTATAAGATTTCTTACCCGCCCTTCACTATAAGATCCCAGGGTGTGTTACACGTACACAATGATGCATTAAATAATAGAAGTCCGCTTTCGAGCATGCTTCAGCTCAGAGGCTATTTCTGTGCTGCTGGGCTGTGCGAAAGCTCACAGAGCAAGGATGATTTCAAAAGCAATGTCAGGTTCTATTA